TTGTCGACATTTTTATGCAACCTATCTTTGCTTCCTGCCCACCGTGTACAGGCGGTTGTTCGATGATAGCCTTCTTTTGCAACCGAATAGCGACGCGACATTAGAAGGAATCCCGTCCAAAGCAACAATACTAACTCGCTGGATTAAATCTTATGTGGACGTGGAAGCTAACACTAGGCATACGCCTGTAAAAACTAAATTATTACATTATAAAATCTTTTTGTTTGTAAACGTAAAATACTGCGATGGCTACTCCACCTCTATAATAAGCCTGCCTTACCGCGAACAAATATTCCCAAAAAGTATAAAGACGAAAGGTAAAGACAACGTCGCCCTTACATTTGGCCGCAATTCATTGCACACTCTAAAAAATATAAAGCCCGCCGCAGTGTGCTACGGAAGGCACTTATGTAAAATCCCTCCCAAGACACACCAATGTGCTTTACAACGGAAGAGACGCAAGCCGCTGTCAACAATGCTCAGACGTCAGGCCCACTAGGAATCTCCATGCATAAGCTGAAAAAGCTAGGACCTGCGGAAGTCGAGTACATAACCGCCGCTTTCAACTTTTGCCCGTCCACCCTGATCATCCCTGAGATATTGAAAATTGGTAGGATCATTCCCATTTTTAAGCCAGGGAAGATGGCGGGTGCAGAAGATTCGTATAGACCCATCTGCCTCCTTTACCCAGCGACAAAAACAATGGAAGCACCACTCCACAGCCTGACGAATCACGTGAACACCGAAAAATGCACAGCACCACCACAGCATTGAACGTCATCACCGCATAGATAAACGGGTATCTGAAACAACGTCGACCATGTAATAGAAAAGTCCTAGTCCTTGACAATACGTCCTGGACTCGTTACATCCAGATCTGATGAAACGGTGGATAACCAGCTATTTGTGTGATCTTCAAGCAGTTAAATTCCGTAACATCAAGTATAAGCCGCTTTGAATTCCTGGACCGAGGAGATTAGGTTTGAACTAGACGTTGATGGCGCCAAAAAAACCGACAATCAACTACACGGAAATTCACTTGTAACAAACTGTGAGCCGGGAACTAAGTCCTCAAGTCGCTAGCCGGAAGCACCTAAAGAATCGACCAGAAGACTCTATTCACAACTTACAAAGAGATCGGCCGGCCGGTGGCAATCTTCGCAGCGCTAGTGCGGGCAGAACTCAACATAATGTCATGTCATCGCAGGAACCACGCTTTGCTACGAAGCGATCCCTGACCCCGGAAACCCGCCCGCTTTCTTGGCTTCAGGCTTGCAGAGGCGGAGGATGAAGATGACTCATAATGGAACCCCGCAGGGTTGAGAACTGCATATGTATGTAAATGTACAACACGCTGCAACATGCCATCGATCTAGGCTATATCAAAACACTAGTCACAGAACGTACTTGTGAGCAATCATATCCAAACATATTAAGTATGTTAAAAAGAATAACAGTTTTATTTTTTCTTATCAATATACAATTTTAAATAATTCTTCATACATCTGTATATCTAAAAACACTGACCCTCATTCAGCACACACCATTTCGGTACTACCGCGTCAGCTTTGATGCCTCGTGATATGAGACGTTCTCGGTAACGCAAAAATCGTGTTTGCACCAGTAGGCTGGATAGTTTCGGATTCGCCCACAGTCGCTCAGCTGCGGCACCAGCGCGCGGCCAAGTGCGTGATTCTTTTGTCAAAACAAACAAAATTATTACTGCTTACCTCGAATGTATTTTCGCATCCACTTACCTATAGAACTTTGATCCACAAACTCACTCCACATGCACACCTCACCGCCCAATACCAAAGGATGCACTTCCATGCGATTGTCATAGACAGTTTTCCAATTGTAGTAGCTTGTGCGACCCCAAAAACCATGATCCAAATACCAGGCATTCTTCGTAGATACTATAAGGCGATATCCCTTCAACAGTAAATCATTGTTCAGAGTTTTATCTGACTCTACCCACGTCTGTATGACGAAACGTTCCTTTGGCAAATGTTCGGCTATAATGCCGGGGTCGGTTAAATGACTGGACCAAAGTATAACCGATTTAGGTACTGCAATACGTGGATATTGCCGTTGTGTTACATTGTCCCACGAGTCTAGGTTCTTGCGATGAAACTCCGACCATACCTTGTAAAAGCTGCGCAAACTTAAATCATAGCCTGTCTTAAGCATACTTCGCGTTATTTCCGCGGTACTATTCCAGCAGGGTATAAATACTTCGTCGCCACCCATATGAATGGTCTCTTCCGGTGCATTTACCTCAGCGAGATCTTCATAAATTTCCTTCATTATGCCATACATATTCTCGTTAAGTGGATTTAATTGGCCGCATGGCGGCTCGATACAATAGGAGCGCCAGGGTTGTTGGTTTACGCATACCGCCATGTTGCCAAGGCCTGACGCGGGGCCCCACTGCCAACCATTGCCGGCATGTGAAGGCCCGTCGATTTCGATAATGATGCGTATACCACGAAGGCGGGCATAGCGCACCATATTGTGGGTGTCGGTGCGAGAGTAAACCATGTCGGGTCGATAAGCACCAAATCTGGAGATGGAAACACGAAAATATGTGTACATATGTATATAAAACTAAATTTATTTATTGATTTAGATGAGCTTCTTTGGCCTAGGTTATGTGAAAGAAGCTCATCTAAATCAATAAAATATACGACGAAAATTGGTCAGAAAATAAGATATTATATTAAATTTATTTAATTTTTTTTTTATGTTCGTTGTTTTTTATTTTAATTACTTTTTATATTTTTTTTTTTTTTTGAGAAGGAATTTTTTTTTTTTAATTTTACTTAGTTTTTAGCTTATTATATTTATTTTTTCTTTTTAATCTTTTTTTCTTAATTATCTTTTAACTTTTAGACTGTATTATTTTAAAAAAGATTATATTTTTTAAATTCACTTAAGTTTTAGGAACTTAATTAGTTTAGTAGTTAGAATTTATTGTTTTAAAGAGGAACAATTTTTTTTATAATCATTTAAATTTTAGTAACTCACTTTATAAATTTTTTCTTTGTTTTAATTTAAGTTTTTGTTATTTTTTTATTGTTATTTGTTATAATATAGAAATATTAACAGCCAATTTCACGAAAGCAATTTAAGTGAAAAATTATTTTAATTTTTTGAATTTTAATATGGAAATGGCCAGAGAATTAAAAATTGTTTTCCATTTAAATTGCTGGTGAAACCGGCTGTAAGATTTTTTTATCTCATTTAACTTTTAGAATACTTATTGCTAACACGCAAACAGAAAAACGCTCAAACAGCCTGTTATTCATGTAAATTTACAAAATCGCTGAATTATAGCTGTTCATGTCAAAATTTTGTAGAATTTTTGGGGATTTATAAAAAAATCAATTTGTTCAAATTCTGGTAGCGACCCCTAACTTTTTTTTAATTTTGAAATGTTCGTGGTTCTTATTATTTTGAATCTGATTTTGATATTTTTATATTTTTGCTTAAGTATTTTGTAAAATTTTTTGCAACCATTTTCATTGTTTGTTTTCATATTTACTTTACTTCATAATCATTGCATACCCTCATCTAAAATGACTTACTGCTGTAATTCTGGAACTCGCGTAATTTCCAGTGGAAAGCTTTGGGTATCCACCACATGCCAGTGGAGGACATTCATCTTTGATGCCGCCATTGCATCCAGAGTTCTGCTAATCAGTTTCAATGGTACGTAATTTCGGGCAGTGTCCAAAAGTAGGCCTCGATGGGGGTAAATGGGTCTATCGCGAACACGGGCAGCTTTCACCAACAACAGACCATTGCTTTTTAATTAAAAAACAG